ACCAATTTTTGTGTGTTACTAGTGTCCATCTTTTACTGGCTTCACTCAAGCATATTGGGCTGATGAGTGACTCCAAATGATAAGCCTGGATTAAAATTAATGAGTAATAATGGTATCAAAATTTGATTACAGTAAATGCAGAGTTGAGGCACTATATGCTCCAAAAGCTTTTTCGTTATTGAGTCTAGCAAAGACACTGAAGAAGTACTAAAGTCTTCCTTATGGTGTTCTTCAAAGGTCTCCTGAGCTTCAAAGAACTCCTCATCACTATCACTGCTGGTGCTCTTGTGATACCCGGTTGATGAGGGAGGGGTTTGTGGGAGTGGCTGTTGCTCGCTTGATATCTGACATTGTATTCGCTGACTAAAACTGAGACTAGAGGTTGGGCTCTGCTCTTCAGGGCTAGGGGAGAGTTTGGATTCTGAAGTCTCTCCTGATAGCTGAGAGTAGTGGAGTCTCTTAGCATGTGATATCTTGTGTAGTATACAGTTGTTTAACATCTAATGAATGAAGAGAGGGAGAGTGTAGTGAATATGCTATATCAGTAGAACATATGATAAAATCTACGACACATTATGGTTTGTTTCATGATTTGACTAGTTTAGGATACAGTATCTAAATTTCTGTCACGTATTATAAAGTCCAATTAACTCTTTGAAAATACACCAGTAAATATGTTAAAATTTGATTCTTAAAAATTTGGCAAAAAAGCACTTTATTACAGGGTGTCCAAGGTCTATGGCCAAATTTTGCCAAAATTGAAAAGGAGGGAATTCTCCATTTTTATATTATTTCTTGATATATATACATGTACATGCACTTACATACATGTATGTTGTGTAGAAGAGCTGATTCTGATCAAAATTAGATTTTTTTATAAATTACTTTCCAAAATTTCAATAGGTCTATACTACATGTACATGTATATTCAGCTAATAGCAAAAGTATAATAGTAACTCATGCTAAAGAACAATGATAAACAAATAAAAAAATGATAAACAAAAATAATAATGCTTTACCTGTAGTTTCTGATGTAAGAGACAACAAGACATGTCAGGATGACTCTTCCCTAAACTGAGACAGTTCATGTACATAATGTAAACTGATAGTTAATTATAGTTACCTTGGTAACGCTATACCATTCTCCCACCTGTAGCGCAGTTCCTGTATCACTTCATACCAAATATGAGCCATTGCTTTAAGACCTAGAGACACAGAATACAATATGACCTTTGATGGTGTGTGTACATATCTAAAGGAATGTACATACCGTATAGCAGGAAATTTTTGTTGGGTGCTAATTTTCATTTGTTTCATTGGCTATAAATTTTTAAGACAATATAAAAATTTTAATCGAACTAAAAGTTTGACCCACGACAGATCCTCTTTTCACTACAGCCACAGCATAGTAATCAGTGGCATTATCAGGATCAACACAAAAGGCAGTTCTTCTCCAACTGATGGGCTCCAAATGTCTTTATAAATATGGTAACCACGGCAAACCATACGTAACCATAAAATTCTTCCATCTTAAACCATACACATGGCATTAATTAAATAGGCGTGACAGTGAAATGTATAACAAAATAAAATCAACGAAAAGATCTTGTAAAGCCTGCTTCAAAAGACAATGAAAGTTTCTGGCAACAAAAATTTCCCGCTACAATGTATACATGAATATTGGAATTTACATTGTGTGCATGTACATGAATATTGAATGTACATTGTGTATGTCACAGTAAGTTTATACATGCCATAATCATTACGAATGTTACAGAAAGCTTTGGCTAGATGCATTGTGAGACTATTAGGAGGAGCTGATTTTAATTCACAAGTGAGAGAATCCTTAAGATAAATAATGATAACATGATTATTGTGTAATACTGTATAGCGCTTTATTTTGGCAATTTTGCGGTAAAATTGTAATTGGCAGATTTTAATTTGGCGATTTTTGTCTACACGTGCATTACTGAGCATGCGCATTAATGATTGGCGGTTTTAATATTGGCAGTTCTGTTTGCAAACTGCCAATCGCCAAAATAAAACTCCGCCAAATTAAAGCGTTATACGGTATAAAGATAAGACAAACTTCAGTTAATTCTTTATGGCCAGAGAGACCGCTACCAGGAACAGAATCAGGAAACAAACGCTAAAAAGAGAAACAACAGAAGGAAGGAGACAAAAACTAAGAAAGGAATAAACTATAACTCCAAACCTCAAGTATTTCATCTCTTTCTGAACCAGTAATTGGCTC